AAGACCAACTATTTTTCCCTACGTTTTGACTAGGAAGGCTATCTATCCCCGTCGTCAATGTTAGCTGCCACACACCGGAAGCCCTGAGCTTTATTCAACATGCGGATTTCTTTATTAAAGTGAAAACGGAATGCAAAACTGTCACATCCTGGCTAGCGCGCGTGCGTGTGTCGGCCTATCCAGAGATATGTAAATTGGAAATTCCTTAGCACTGGCTTATCCCATCATTCCACCTAGTTGCAGCTCGATATCAGTTTATTCGATCAACATAATGCACTTAATTATAATCACAATTTTTCGGAGTAAAGTTAGATCTTCAGTTATCTTCAAAATCAGGTCATATTTAGGTATGGGTTTCTAACACTGCTTTGTACTGAACTGGTGTTGCTAAATTATTGCAAATTATCACGATTGCACCCTTAGTTCTGAGCATTTCATGATATGGTAGACAAATTCGTCTTCGTCTGAACCAGTAGTACATCTGCCCTATTTCGTAGTCGGACCTGACTACGAAACATCGAGGTGAAAAACACTTCGTTCTAAGAGAACACACCAACACGAACATCCGCATCCCGAGCTGTGCAGTCATTCCACAGTACTTCTGCAGAGGTTTTTGTACTTTTTAGAAAATTTACCTGCGTGAAAAATTGCGATTAGAATCCGTTTGTTTTCATTGAAAATTTGCCGAACCCCAAAGTGGCAAACCATAGGGTTTTGATGTATGTAAAGTCCCTATTCCTGGGGGAAATCTTCACGATTTTGCGAACAGACGTCCGTTACGGGGTAATCCTAATGTGAAAGTAAATGTTGACTCTTTCCTGGTACCATGGAACATTATTAGTTCATCGTACCCACGGACTTCTGCCCTAAAAACAGGCTGAATATTGACCGGTTTGGACTGGTACATGCGTCTCAAAATCGCATGTAGATTTCGTGTCTCATTTGTGAATGCGTTTGCTTGAATGGGGCCTGGGTCGGTGAATTGTGATCATTTTCTCTTTGGGGTAATAAACGCTTCTTAGTTTAGACAGACACAAGGAGGCAGTGAACTTTCGAAATGAAGGTGGCGCAGTTTGTCAATTTCTTCTTTTTTAATCTTACCTCTACAGATCAGGAATCAGCAACTGCCAGTTTCTCACAGGAATGGAATTCGGTATTCGGTCAGTTGGATAGTAGTACTACTCGACCAAACCAGACGCCTACTGCGGGTCTAGCTGAACTCGGCGGTGAACAGCCGGCCACGGAAGCCGAGGTAAATGTATTTTGAACTTGTCGACCTCATAGTCATGTCACGACAGATCGTTGTCACTTAGCCTTCGAATTCGTTGAATGAGGTAATCGTCACTTATCTCACTGTCCTCTTTGTTACATTTACCATTTTTCATAGTTATTCTCACAAGTGACTGATCGCGGCAGGTTGCGAAGACCACTATTCATGACTACTCTCAAACTGGTCAGTAGGTCAGGTGTTCACACAATTGCCTGCGTCACTGATACTCTTCTGCAGTTCAGGGGTCGCGCAGTGGTTTAATCGCTGTCCCCCTGCGCGCTTTGGACCACCGCCACCCAACATTGGTGGTGGGCCGGTTTGCTGTCGTCCGGTTCAATACCCCGCCTAACCTATCGGGGCCTTATATGGTTTGCCACTCCAAGTCCCTCGGGGCTTAGGTTGCCGGTTATCATCGCTGAGCAGCAGGTCTTCGTGACTGTCGGGTTCCATCCCGCTTGCTGTTCATCGCACAGTGATGTGTAATACAAAATAGTTTACTTCACTCTGTACAGCTACTAACCACGCGTTCCCATGGGTCGATTTTGGTTGCTGTCTTTTGACTGCGCATTCGGATACGAGAACAGAATTAAGATTGGAATGTTGAGCGCAGAATCACTAACATGTTGGGTTGTGTGATCACAGAGCAGTGCGATTAGTACCTTATCGACTGATAGATGGCTTTTATTTCATGCCACTTGAGATTCAGTCTCATCTACAAACGTTTTACGTGCAATATGCATAGTTTGATACAGAGGATTCGAGATTAGAAGTTCACCTAATATAATAATTAACGTAATAAGAAAATAGGTTGAAGATAGGCTGTCAGTGTCTACTTCAAATTGCGCGAACCTGGCGGGGGCAGCCGGACGAGCAATGCTGAGCTTAGACGCAGAGTTTTTGGGTAATCGTGGTTGCCCACTGGAGTAAGTGGTCCACTTCCATAGATTGCTTTGGATGGGGCATGTTATTCATGTCACCAGATAAGTTGCCACGGCGGGCGATGTTTGCCGAGGCAGGTAGTGGATGGAAAAAACCAAGGGTGATCAAACCAAGACCTGCATGAGGATATGAAAACCCTAACCGAGGGACTGCGTCACACAGGTTCCGTCAGGCTCCCTGGATGGGGACCTCGGGATGATCATACCCGGTGGTTAGAGATACTGAGTGATATGGCTGAGTGTGGTAAATAGTGACGTTTGTGCATCTTGTCAAGTTCTCTGCAACAATAGTCCAATAAAAATGTAAATTTTCTCTTTCATCCTACTTTCAACCTTATTGTCTTTCTCCTAATGTTTATCCAAATGGGCAGTCAAAAGACAGCAACCAAAACCGGTGGACGATCGTCCAAGGTTAATGTTTGTACGAACCGAAATGAACTGTATAATATGTGAAAACTTGATGAAACCGTAACAAACAAGTCGAAATGAAAAGATTTAGGAGTAGGGAGACTGGGATCGCAGAGTGTAGACCATCGCGCAGATGCAATTGATGAATATCATCGTTAGTATCTGTGTTAGCGCCATATTCCCAGTGGCCTCCCAAGGCCTCAGTATGGTTGGGGGTGGGTGTCTAGGGTTGCGGCTGGTCACCCTGCCCTTGCACCTCACGAAATGCCCCCATACG